GGGGTTTGCCTGAGCCCATGGGTTTAAGACCAGCCTGGGCAACTTGGCAAGACCTCATCTCTACAATAAATCAAAAAATTAGCCAGGTGTGGGGTGCGCCTAAAATTCCGGCTACTTGGAAGGCTGAGGTGGAAGGATCGCCGGAGCCCAGCTGGTTGACGCTGGGGTGGCCATGAGCGTGCCACCGCACTCCAGCCTGGGCGATGGAGTGAGACTCCAACTCAAAAAAAAAAAAAACACCAAAAACATAATATTTGTACATTTTGATGGAGTATGTGTGGTATTTAGACACATGTATAGACTGTGTAATGACCATCTCAATTATTTGTCATTTCTATATGTCAGGAACATTTCTAGTCCTCTCAGCTATTTTGAAACTTAGATTACATTGTTGTTGAGTGTGGTGGTGCATGCCTGTGGTCACAGCTACTCAGGAGGCTGAGGTAGGACAATAGCCTGAGCCCAGGAGTTTGAGACTGCAGTGAGCTATAATTGCACCACTGCACTCGAGCCTGGGCTGCAGAGCAAAATCCCATCTCAAAAAAAAAAAATGTTGTTAACTATGGTTAACCTACTCTGCCATCAAACATTAGAACTTATTCCTTCTATTTAACTGTAGATTTGTACCCATTAACCCACCTCTCTTCATCCAACACCTGGCAACATACATGCCCTTCCCAGCCTCTGGTAACTATCTCTACCCTCTACCTCTATGAGATCCACCTTTTCAGCTCCCACCTATGAGTGAGGACATGCAATATCATTCTTTCTGTACCTTGCTTATTTCCCTTAACATCATGACTTCCAATTCCCTCCATGTTGCTGCAGCTCACAGAGTTTCATTTTTATGAAACTTTTTTATGGCCAAGAATTACTCCATTCTGTATATAGACTACATTTTCTTTCTTCTTTCATCTGGTGATGGATACTAAGGTTGATTTCATATCTTGGCTATTGTGAATAGTGCTACAATCAACATGAGAATGCAGGTATCACTTCGATATACTGATTTTCTTTTATTTGAATACATACTCAGTAATGGGATTGCTGGATCATGTGGCAGTACAATTTTTAGTTTTTTGATAAATCACCATACTGTTTTCCATAATACCTGTACTAATTTGCATCCCCGCCAACAGTGTAAAAACATTCCCTTTTCTCTGCATCCTCACCAGCATCTGTTATTTTTTTTATGAAGGATTCTGCTTGACATGTTTTTATGTCTTTTTAATAGTAGCCATTCTAAGTGGGTGAAGGTGTGATTTTGACTTGCATTTCCTTAATAATCATTATATAGTGACTGATTAGTGATGTTGAGCATTTCATGACCTGTTGGACATTTATGTCTCATTTATTTTTTTGAGTTGGAGTCTCACTCTGTTGCCCAGACTGGAGGGCAGTGGCTGCTCCCGGCCACCGCAGCCTCGACCTGCTGGGCTCCGGCGATCCTTCCGCCTCAGCCTTCCAAGTAGCTGGAACTACAGGCGCGCGCTACCACGCCCGGCTAATTTTTTGATTTGTTGTAGAGATGAGGTCTCGCCAAGTTGTCCAGGCGGGTCTTGAACCCGCGGGCTCAGGCAATCCACTCACCTCAGCCTCCCAAGGTGCGGGATTACAGGCTGAGCCACCGAGCCCGGCTATATGTCTCATTTTAAGAGGTGCCTATTCACGTCCTTTGCCTACTAATTTTTTTCCCCCCTGCACCCACCCACCTCGCCCTACCCTCTTTTGCCTACTTTTTAATGGAATAATTAGGGAGGTGTTTATTGTTGAGTTGTTTGAGTTCCTTGTAGATTCTAGATATTAGCCCCATGTTGGATTAACACTTTGCAAATATTTTCTGTCCTTCAACAGGCTATCTCCTCATTCTGTTGTTTCCTTTGCTGTGTGGAAACTTTTTAGTTTATTATTGTCTCACTTGTCTATTTTTGCTTTGGTTGCAGTGCTTTTGAGATCATAGCCATAAAAATCTTTGCCTAGACCAATATCCTGTAGTATTTGCCCTCAGTTTTCTGCTAGTACTTTTATAGGGTTTATTGCTGTTGTTTTGTTTTGTTTTGTTTTTGAGTCAAGGTCTCACTCTGTTGCCCAGGCTGGAGTGCAATGGCACAATTAGAGCTTACTGCAGCCTCTACCTCCTGGGCTCAGGTGATCTTTCTGTGCCAGTTTCCCAAGTAGCTGGGACTACAGGTGCACACCACCATGCCCAGCAAATTTTTAAATTTTTTGCAGAGATGAGGTCTCACTGTGTTGCTGAGGCTGGACTCGAACTCTTGTGCTTAAGTGACCCTCCTGCCTCAGCCTCCCAAAGTGGAATAATAGGGATGAGCCACCACACCCAGCCACTACCGATTTTTTTTATATTAATTGTGTTTTCTGCAACTTTACTGAATTTGTTTATCAGATCTTAGAGTTTTTTAGTGAATTTTCTAAATATAAGATCATGTCATCTGCATAAGAGGGACAATTTGACATCCTCTTTCCAATTTAGATGTCTTTTATTTCTTTATTTTGCCTGATTGCTCTGGTTAGGACTTTCAGTACTATATTAAATAAGAGTGGTGGAAGTGGACATCTTTGTTTTATTTCAGTTCTAAGAGAAAAACCTTTCAGCTTTTTCCCCAGTCACTATGACGTTACGTGTGGGTTTGTCATATATAGGCTTTATTATGTTAAGGTATGTTCCCTCTATGCCTAGTTTGTTGAGAGTTTTTATCATAAAGGGGTGTCAGATTTTATCAAATGCTTTTTCTGTGTCTATTGAGATGATCATATGGTTATGTCCTTTCTTCTGTTGCTGTTATGTATGTTTATTGATTTGCATATAAACTTCCTTGCATCCTTGGGATAAATCCCACTTGATCATAATGTATTTTTTTTAATGTGTCTTGGTTTAGATTTGATAGTATTTTGTTCAGGATTTTTGCATATATGTTCATTAGGATCATTGGCCTGTAGTTTTCTTTTTTTGTTGTGTCTTTGTCTGGTTTTAGCACCTCAGTAATGCTGGCTTCATAGAATGAGTCGGGGGGAATTCTTTTCTCTTTAATTTTTGGAATAGTTTGAGCAGAACTGCAGAACTGATTTTAGTTTTTTATAAGTTTTGTAGAATTAGCAATGAAGTCATCCTTTACTGAACTTTTCTTTTCTTTTTAGTTGGAGTCTCGCTCGGTTGCCCAGGCTGGAGTGCGGTGGCATGTTCACAGCCATCCCAGTGTTGACCTGCTGGGCTCCAGTAATTCTTCAGCCTCCAGCCTTCCAAGTAGCCAGAACTACAGGCACGCACTACCATGGCCGGCTAATTTTTTGATTTATTGTAGAGACAAGGTCTCACTATGCTGCCCAGACTAGTCTCAAACCCACGGGCTCAGGCAATCCCCTCGCCTGGCCCCCGGAAGTGCTAGGATTACAGGCTTGAGCCACCGTGTTCAGCTTGTTCATTCTTTTTCATTTTTTCTTTATTTGGTCTGACTGAGTTATTTTTAAAGACCTGTCTTCTATTTTCGAGATCTTTCTTCTGTTTTATCTAGTCTACAATAAAAGCTCTAGAAGGAATTTTTTATTTCATTTATTAAACTCTCCAGTTCCAAGGTTTTTTGTTTGTTTGTTTATTGATACAGTGTTTTATTCGGTCTTAAAGGTTGGAGTGCAATGGCACAATCACAGTTCACCATAGTCTCGCACTATGCCCAGCCAATTTTTGTATTTTTTGTAGAGACAGGCTCTTGCTTTGTTGTCCAGGCTGGTCTCAAACTACTGACCTCAAGTGATCCTCCAGCCTTGGTCTCCCAAAGTGCTGGGATTATAGGTGTGAGCCACTGTGCCCAGTCTCTTTTTTAAAAAATTATATCTCTCTCTCTCATTCAGGATATTAATCTTTCATTTATTTGCTGAATTGATGTTCTCAGTCATTTGTATTGTTTATCTGTGTTCTCTCGTATCTCACTGAGCTGCTTTAATATCATTGCTTTGAATTCTTTTCCCAGAATTTCATAAATTTCTTTTTCATTGGAATCTGTTGCTGGAGAATTGTTGTGTTCCTTTGGAAGTGTCTAATTTCCTTGTTTTTTTA